TCGGTTCGAGTTCGGATTGACAGTTTTTGTGTTACCCACATGGCTCAACCGGACACGAACACAAACCAAGAATAAGAATTTACACCCCTAACTAATTCCGTCTAATTCGATCGCAACATGGAAATTTACTAAGAACATTGCAAGGGAACATTTGTAGCTAATTCTACCACAAAATCCCTAATGAAATTATTTCAACACCCATATTCAAATGCTTTGCCCGTTTTTCTAAAGTCTATATAACTAATATTAATTCAATTATCTACAATCAATCCAATTTGAAAACTCCATTAATACTTCCCGTCAAAGATGAGAAAACCAAACGGAACCATATAGAAATTTCAAATCTAAACAAATTTAATGAACAAAAAATATTATAATATATGAACAATGACAGATGTTTGTCACACGTTGCAAAATTTAAATAACATAAACCTACTTTCACGATAAAAAATAACGTAGTATAGTTGAAGTAGAGTCGTCTCCTAAAGAAATAAAAAATATTATATTTTTGATTGTTTAATACATAGATATAATAAAATGGGAGATTTTTGAAAATTGAATATAAAAATAAAATAACAAACTAAAAATCTACAACTAAAGGATAAACTCAATAAAAATAAGCTTCCAGTCTACGAATGAAATTGACAACTTGGATAGTGAATTTGATCATCGATAAATATTTAATTTTATTGGTTTCTAAATAAATTAGTTATAATTACTTACACGCGCCTAATAACCAACTCTTCTTTAATTTCTCGACAGTCTAAATATGTCCGTCAATTGCTTCCCTAATTAGACTAGAATCCTAGTAAAGCTATAAAGAATTTAGTAGCCCTAGTAGTGCATGCCTCTAGTTGCTACATGAACCAAATTAAAACGTAATTACGAATGTCTAATTTCATTTAGCAATTAATCTTTAATCTCATTGAAATATTTGCCCACAATACCCAACTAAATCAAAGATTATTAAAAATTAAAATCAGAAATAAAAAAAATACTTAGGAACTAAGAAATAATATAAATAAAAAAATAGTCTAATATCACCATTCTATACCAAGTTGTTTCTTTCCCTCATAAACTAGAAAAGTAACTACTTGCTAATTATAGGAGGAAAAACAAAGAAAATAAAGATAAACATCGCCTTAGATAGATCGGATTGATAGAAAGAACTCGAAATCTTCTTGGAAGAATCTTTCTTCTTCTGTCCTTGCACGATTTGTCTTTGGGACTGTTCTGCATGTGTTCTCCTCCTTGCCAGCATAAAGTGGCGTCTCTCCCTTGTTCTTTCTTATATATTTGCCATAATTTTGTAACAATCGGACTTTTGGGCCTTTCAATTAATTTTTCAAGTCATTAAACTTTTTTGCTCCAATTTTACCAATTTTATTAGTATTAAACTTTTTTGCTCCAATTTTACCAATTTTATTAGTTTTCTCCTGCAAAACATAAATAAACAATATATATCTGATCAAAATCAACAAATATCGCAAGTAATATGAATATTTAATGTATGCGATTTTTGACTATCAAACAAAATATATTTAGTATCACTACCGTCATTTTCAAATATTAGAAAAACATATAAAGCTACTCTTATTTAGAAAATACTATACAAAAACACATAAAATCATAACTTACAAATTGGATAATGATAAAATATCACGATACCGTAGTATTACCACCATCTGAATCAGGGTCATGCTAGTGAATGGGTGATGCTCTCGTACGCCCTAACTGCTACAAGATGGTTAATTAAATTGAGATCGTATTTGACTCATTGGTGATTTTTCATTTTGTAACACGTTGCTGCATTGATCCCAACTGACCATGTTTATCCCTATTATCTGTCTTCAACTCATCTTATATTTTATTTATTGCGCGGAACTCTTTTATACTAAATTAAAATATGCACAAAATACTTTATTCGTCCAAATATGATATTTGAATGTAAAAAAGCATACGTAATTATTTACATTTTGTTAAAAAAATATATATATTTTAAATAATACTTTTTGAATAAAATAAATAATTAAATAACTTATCATCTATTCATTTAATAATGTTTCGTACACGAATTGTTAATTTTTATAACAAAAACTATCAGATCAATTATTTATATATATTTCTCATAATTAAGGCTTTTTAAACTAAAAAGAAATATTATGTAATTTAGCTGATTGAAGATTTTTTGAGAGATTTAAAATATAATATCTTTTAAAAAAATATGATATATGTATAAAATGAAAATAGTGTCGTGCGTGTTCGTGTAGTAACTCTAAAAATTTTGTTAAAAATAAAAAATCTCTTTAACTGGTAAGTATCCGGGTCGAACTCAGGGAATATGCGAATATCCAATATTTAATTAGAAAAGTGTAATGAGTTAATGCAATCGAAGAAACTGAAAGGATAAATTGCAGAAAATTAAATCTAACTAAAAAATGATAAAATATACATATCTCGAAAAGGATGAAGCGAGACGTTTGTGTCTGACTTTTGCGTTCCTTAATGGCTAGATTTCCATGGATGAAATGAGCGGGATGACGATGACGTGATAGCGAAAAATATATGTATAATTGCGGGGCGGCTTGGAGAAATGAGCGTGATCGTATTTGCTCGCTTAAGCCGATTCTCGACTCGGTTGGTACTTGACCTTAGGGGATTTACAACGAGACTTCAGTGACACCCGGCGAAGAACATTATAAGCAAAAAACTCTACTGTCATTAGAAATTTCTGTGACCTAATAGACCACCGCCTATGCCCAATGAATTATTTTTTCAACCGCTCCGCGAGTGGCTCTACCCCTCTGATACCTCTCTTTAATTGGAATCAAATTCAGAACAGCAACTAAACAGGTTGACAAGGCTCCCGCGTACTTAGCTACGTTGAACTACCCAGAATCTGTTTGTGACGCGAAACAGGGCTGAAATAGTCGATTCTTCTATCGCATTTTCGCAACCTTGCCGAAATTAACTTGAACAATTCAAATCGAACATGGATTTTTTTTTTTTGGGTGAAGGTGAGGTGGAGAAATATAATAGGAATTCTACTAGCTAAAATAATATGCTGAAATTAAAAGAGAATGAGGGGAAAATCAATTTGCTTGCGACACAAAATCGAAAATTTCGTATTATTAAATTAGATAAAAATATGAGTGAAAAGAAAGAGAAAATGAAGTGTATGGAATGTATATTATTTTGTATATATGGGTGTATGTATGGTACAATTGGAGGGGATATTTATAGGGGGAAGAACTTCTAGAAACTTGGCGGTTACAACCGCCAATAAATAACTACTTCTAAAACTAACTACTAACTACCTCTAAAAATAATCATAAATAATTAACTCTAAAAATAGCTACTAATATAACTACTAATAACTACATATTTTTTTAATTACAGAAAAACACAATAATAATATTATAAAAACAAAATATTAATTACAGAAAAGCACAACAATAATATTAGTGGATTATTGGCTTCGAACAGTCTTCTCCCTACAACAATGATATTATTATAAAAACACAATATTAATCATAAGAGATTACAACTGTTTTTTTTTTTTTTTTAAAAAATAGATCAGTATTAGATTAAAAAATTTAGAAAGCATTGTCTCTGTTAACAAAAAATTGTTTCTGTACCTATTACCTAAAGCACCACCTCCATTAACATAGAGTACCATATCTGTTCACAATAAGCACTACTTCCATTAACATAGAGCAGTGAGCATAGTTAAGTATTAACTCTATTGGGAACCTTTATTGTCTTTATTTATTCTTATTTTACATATATAGGGATTTAATTTATTAATTAATTATAATTCATCTTTCATCTGATTTGGGTTGTTTGTGACAATTTTTGAGACGAAATAGTCAAAAGACACATAATAGAAATATCTTGAACATTTTTGTTAGATAAGCTATTTTTTTAAATAGTCATAAAAAATTGTTTATAACTTTTTCTGCAAATATTACACACGGAAAAATCAGCAAAAAATTGTAACATAATTTTTTCACGAAATTAGTCTCCGTAACTTTTAATTGTCGCAAATTAAAATTTACGATAAATTTCCACAAGTATCCACTTTTTTTTTCTTTTTTAATTTATTTATTTTTTTTCTCTAGCCGTGAAAGAAATAGTTTAATTCTCTCAAATTAATGTTCCCTTCATTTCTCCATGACAAAGGTGGGGATGTTTGAGTTGGCTTTCCTATTGCGGCCGGAATGAATTTCATACAACTATTTGTTGTATGTTTCACATGCATTTTGTTGAAAAACGGGTGCATTAGTCCGTCACAACAATCCGACACAATACGTGTCATCTATTTTAAAGCGTCGCAAATATTCGTCGCAACTTAGGATCAGCCTTTCAATTTGTAGCTAATAGCGACGGATGACCGTTTTGTCGCAAATGCATATTAGACTAATCAATAACATGATACTGATTAATTCTAATTAGCATTCTAACTCCTTATAAGATTGTGATGTATTCATCTAAAAGAATAATCCTATTAGATACATAAACTACATTAAATTGATATACGGATTAAATTACCCAAATTACGACTTAATTACATTAAAATGCACAAGTAAAACTATCGACTATTGAATACTCCCTCCATTCCAGCTAAATTGTCCCCTCTAGCTTAGGTACGCAGTTTTAGGTATTGTATAATTAGTAAATAATTAAAAATGTATTAGTAAAAATAATTATAATTTAATAAAAATAATCATAGATTAATATTAAAATGACTAAATAATTTAATTAGAATTAAAAAAATTATAAATTATGATTAAAGTGTATAATTATATTTCGAAAAAAAGAAAATGACAAATTATATGTGACAGAAGAAAATAGAAATAGTAGACAAATTAAGTGAGACGAAGAGAGTAATATTTAAGAGGATAAACCACAAAATATATATAGCATATTCCCAATATCCTTGTAATCAAATGAAACTATGGACTATTGAATAATTAATAACATAAGCCACAAAAAATATATAGCATATTCCAAATATTAATTCTTGTAACCAAATGGAAGTAAAATACAGCTCATATGTCTCTCTATACATATATGTATGCTGTGTCTGCACTGTCCAACTCAGGTATCAAACCTTCTATAACGTGTATATATATATAATGTAAAAAATTAAAATTGTCGGATAATGACTGTGTCATCTAAAAGTTCAAACTATTAGAAAAACGCAGTCATTAATCTTATATCGGCAATCGAAGCCCAAACAAAAATAAAATAAAATCCCAATTCCCCCGAACACAGTAAAAACACGTATTTTTTTTTCAAATTAGAATGATCAAGAAGCTGTAAAAAAACCCCAAAAATATAAATATAAATATACATACATCCCCAAGAATTCATTTTTCTTTTTCTTTTTAATTCGAAAAAAAAAAAGATATAATCAATCGGGAATTTCGTAGTCATCTGGCACATAAAACGTGGCTGGATCTTCGTGCTGAAGCCATCCGTACTTCTCCATGAAAGGATTCGTGAGATTCTTCATCGGATACCTGTCGATGAATCCCTTCCAGACGTTCCCGGCGCCGTCGAGGTCCCGGACCACCTCCCACAAGGCGCTGTTGCACTTGAACCCGGCCCCGAAGCTTATCATGAACAGCTTGTCCCCTTTCTTCAACCTCTTCTTCGATTCCATGTACCCTAAAACGTACCAGAGGCTGCTCGCCGACGTGTTCCCGAACCGGTGGAGAGTCATCCGGGCCGGTTCAACATCGTACTCGCTCAAATTCAAGCTCTGCGCGATCGTGTCGATCACCGCCTTCCCGCCGGTGTGGAGGCAGAAATGATCCACACCTGTTTTGAAATCGATCACCGGCCGGGAAGTCGCGCCGCCAGCCGCCGCCTTGTCCCATTTCTGCCGGAGCTTCCGCCATAGGAGAAGGACCGAGAACCGGAGAAGCTCCCGGACCGGGAGTATTCTCGGGGCGATTTCTTTAAGGTTGTCGACGAAAGCACGAGTCGCCGCTTTCGGCAGATTCTTCCCCAAATGGAAACCGACGAGCCCTTTATCGTCCTCGCGCTGGATGCAGCAGTCGTAGGACTCCTCACGAGCTCCATGGTGTGTACGGACAAGGCACTTAAGCTTTAGCAATGCCCGATCTTTGAGCGAGGGTTTGTTTGTAAGAATGAAGGCGCAGCCACCGGATCGGAAAAGACAGTTCGCCAGAATCATGGATCTGTCGTTGCCGTTGTACCAGCCGAGGCTGAGCGACTCGGAGGTGACGACCAGGGCCTGTAAATTCTTCCTGGTTTTAAAAATGTTCTGCACCACGTTGACGGAGATGATGCTGGCGCTGCAACCCATTCCGGTGAGGTTGTAAACTTTAATGTCCTCCCTCATCTTGTAAAAATTGACGATTCTCGACGCCAGCGACGGGATCGTCGCGAGCATGGAGATGTTGACGACGAGGACGTCGATTTCCGCCGGCGAGACGCCGGTGCGTTTGAAGAGGGCGTCGATGGAGGTGAGGAAGAATTCGTCCATTTCTGAAAGTCCGTCGGCGAGGGTCGGAGATGCTTCGCGGCCGTCGAACACCATTTTCGGGGCGTAGGTCTCTTCGCCGATGCCGGAGCTGACGATGGCTTTGAGGAGGAATTTGTACTCGTTGAGGCCGAGGTGCTTGTTCCGGCGGATGACCTCGCCGGAGAATTTGGTGCTGAGTTTCCGGTCGTCGGTCGGCTTGTAGCACTCGTAGTCGAGGAGGTAGCAGTGGCGGTGGCGGCGGTCGTAGAGGAATTTGCAGAGAATGGAGAGGAGAGGGAGGAGAGGGAGACAGTAATAGGTGAAGAAATTAACAATGTCCATATTAGGTATTATTCGATTGATTTGGGTGCTTCGAATTCTGAGATGAAGAAGAAGAAGAAAAGAGAGGGGTGTTTTTAGGTGGGGTGTTGTCGTTTGAATAAGGATTCTGCCATTAATATAGCAAGAAATAATGGATGAGGAAGAAGAAAGACGAAGGATATGAAATAATGGATTTGAGAGAGAGAGAGAGAGAGAGAGACAAGTTGGGCATGTGAATGAAGAGGGTTTTTAAAATGATTGGATTGGATGGAGCTTGCAAGCTGGTGCTGGTGCTGGTGCTGGTGCTGGTGCTGGTGCTGCTAATTTAAAAATTGAAATGTGTCTCTCAACGCCCACCAACTGTTGCCTGCGTGACTTTCCCTAACTAAACCCTTAAAGACTATCAAACAAAACAACGCATGCCCTACTTAATCACCTATATTATTATTATTATTATTATTATTATTATTATTGCCAATTAACCCACCTTCAATATATTTAAAAATATACTGGTATTTGATATCCAAATCCAACCGAATAAATATTCGAAATTGCGAATTGTATTTGAATAAAAAATATTTGCAAATAATTCGAACCGAATCGAAATAAAAAAATTATTTAAATTCTAATTAAATCAAAATATTTGTAAATATTTCAAATATTTGAACCGAACCGAATATAATTATTAATATAAAAATTAAAATATAATACTAAATATATAAATATATTCGGTTAGATTAACCGAATCGAAAAAATTATCAAAAACCAAAACCGAATCGAACTGAACAAATATCAAATATGCAGTATTTGTATTCGAACCGAATTTGCTTGGTTAACCGAAAATTCAATTCGGTTCAGTTCCGTTCAGTGGTTCGACGGTTCGGTTCGATTTTTTTGCCCACCCTTAATACGTGCTTTTTCATTATATTAATAACCACATCCTAGTTAAATCAAAACTACTAAACCCTAGTCCTTTAAGGGATGGTCCGGTAGCGTCTGCGGTTCCTACATCATTAAAAACTGAAAATAGTAAATTTTCAGAAAAAGAAAAAGAAGAAAAAACTATTAACAGTTGTGGTCTTAACTAGATTGAATTCCACTTAGGTGGTTGTGTTGTAAAGCTCCAAATTGAAGGTTGAATATGTATTTTACCTATTTAAAAAGTAAAGATTTATATTTTAAAAAAATAAATAAAAAAGAAGAGGACTATTTATTAAAATTTAATTTAATTGTTAAAATTAAATAAGGGTATATTTATCATTTAAGTATATATATGATTTTTAAGGTTTGAAATTTGTTTCTTAAAATTTCTTTTATGGGGGTTTATTATTATTATTAGTCTCAAACCCACAATGGACTAATTATGAGTGTAAGGAAGGATTCATGTTTCATCATAACTTTTCAATAATTTTCAACTAGGCTTTGTTTCCTATGTATGATTGACACTCCAAAAAAAAAAATAGTATAAATCTAACGGAATTTCGTTTCTAAAGTTCACGTAGCTAACGTAATTTCATCTCTAATTCCGTCTCTAATATCATTAGTAACGGAAAAAGTGAATTTAGCAACGAAAAAACTTCGTTATAAAATTGATAATTTCTTGTAGCGGATACTACTGTTATATTTTAATTTAATAATAAAATAAAAAAATTATAGTAAGAATGATAATAATTGTGAGATGTCAAGCTGAGTTTATTACCACTAAATTTTGGATAATTTAGAGGCTCATGTACCTTATAGGTTTTGGGATTATCGTTAGACATGTGAAGTTTCCTTTATACCTCTCTTTAATTAATTTGCATGATAATTTTGGTAGACACGAGTGACTTGTTAAAGGCCCTAAATTCCCAAAATAAACATTTTATGTACAAAGTGAATAAATTAATCAGTACAGTTTTTGCCAAATAAAAATAAATTGGCATTTCCGTGGTTTGTCCGGAAGATCGATTGGCGACTTAATTTAGAAAGTTAATTTTTATCATATGTTGTACAAAGCATTTGAGAAAATAAAAAATAATATATATATATATATATGTATAATAGGTATGTTTGCTAATTAATATTTGTGTAGTAGGCAAATTGAAAGGTGTTTGGGTGTGTTCTTGGTGATAATAGTGAATTGATATAATGTAAGTATATGTTTTTGTAAACTAATAGCCGGCAAAATTCATAGTTTCACGAGCCATGAATTCACTTCTCACACCAGTAAGTTACCATTTAAAGTACAATGTTTTTTAGAATAAAATGCAATGAAAATAGAAGACAAAAATGCAAAAGATTAGCTATTTGTTTACACAACTCACTTTTATTCATTTCATACTATTTATTTTTTAAAAAAATATCACATTAAATATGCTTTTTCTCTCACAAAACATCAGATCAAATACTAACTTTTATTTTTTCGAAACTTCCGAAAACCTCCAAAAACTCCTATTTAAACAAACCCTAGAACTCTTGTTGTGTATAAGAATGATTAGTATGCCCGAAAACTTAAAATTAATTTTATCGACAATAAAGAATATGTGGATTTAGAATTCATAGTTAGTCAACGCATATATGAGTGGAGCTCACTCGCGTTACTCCATTCATATTATTATTATTATTATTTCATTAGATATATATATATGTTGCGAATTATGTGCTGATCCAGTCAAATCAGCATGATGTGATGCTGATTTGATCATATCAATATATATCATACACATAATACAACATATATTAGATTATAATATAATATAACATAAGTTATATAAATATGCTGAGATATACATAAATATATAGTGATTACCTGTATAACATATGCCGATACAGTCAAACCAACACGATCCATGCCCATATATGTATATATTGCTACTTATATGCTAGAAAATGTATTGGTACTTTGTTTTATATTTTAGTTAATTTTAATAAAGAGGTTTTATGCTTTGACTCGAATTGTATAGTAAAGATTAATAAAATGGTATATTCGATGAGGAGCTAATATATTCATAATGAGATCTTAAATTAGAAAAAACTCCAACCAATATGAGCTATATATAAATTTCATATCATTTTATTTCCTTAGAATGAACATCGTACTACAAAAAAATAGTATATTAGTAACAAAATTTCGTTCCTAAAGTGTGTGTAGTTAACGCAATTCCCTCTCTAATTCCGTCTCTAATATCTTTAGTAACGGAAAAAAGGGATTTAGAGACAAAAAAAAAAAAAAAATTTGTTACAAAATTGATATTTTTTTTAGTGATATCAAATCATTTCCATGCCTAAATTTCAACCTATTTAGTAAAATATACTTACAAATTAAACATATACATATAATTTCTTGATGAGATCCACTTTTCTTTTAATTATTATTATTATTATTTTTTTATTTTTATAAATTCTAATTTAAAAAATTTAAATAAATCAATAATTATTCAAATATAATAAAGTGAGAGGCATAAATGCAAGAACATCTACTACACCATTATGAGCCCTGACAACAACTTTTATTAGTAGAAAATTTTTTTTGAAGCCTACCCACATTTATGAATGGTAGATAAGAGTTCTCTTGCCTTGGTAGACTTAATAAAATTACTTTACTATTTCATTAATTAAAACTTATTTGATCGATCAAAAAAAAAATAAATAAATAAATAAAATAATAATAATAATAAATAAAATAATAATTATATAAATATTATGAACCCTAACCCTAACTCTAACCCTAGCCCTAACCCTAAGTGGATCATTGCAATTTGCGTTTGAATAAGTAGTTGGAAAATTGACTAAAAAAGTAAACGATGGATGAATTATATAATTATAATATATGTGTGCGGCTGGGCTTTTAAGTCTGCCATTAAATTAAATTAAATTATGAGATATTTTGGCCCCATGCATGTGTATCACTAAAAATAAAATAAAAAAATAAAAATAATATATTTGTAACATTTCCGTCTCTAATATCATTAGTAACGGAAAAAGTAAATTTAGGAACGAAAAAACTTCGTACAAAATTGATAATTTCTTGTAGTGTATGTATATATATATATATGTATTTTTAGGGTTCCATGTGTGGGGTAATTTGCTCCATTTAAGTTTTAATGGATTATATTGTTGTTACATACAATATATATATATATATGACAATAACAACAATTTCGACATTTTCAACTGTACATAAATTTCTGAAAGAATTTATTGGAATCACTCTTTTAATTTTATTTTCAATTTACTTTTCCCCCATCATTCTAATGGCTTAGAGATTTCATTCTGAAGCTATAAAGATCTATTCGAGCATATGCCCGAATTTTACTATTTGAATTATAGTTTTTGTTGCGTTGGATACGAGATTTAAGGAATATTGATATTATATTGATAGTGGGTAAAAAATATGGGTAAAAGACTTTTTTGCCCTTGTGAGTATATTAGTGTAAAAAGTAATGGCAATTATGTAATAATAATGAAAAAAGTAAAGATACTTTTATTGTGATATAGTTATTTATGGAAATAAGACTATTGTTTTGGGACGGACAAAAATAGTAAATAGGACTATTGTATTGGGACAGAGGGAGTATATTTATATATTATATTGTATTTGTATTTATTTTTTAAGTGTTATTCTTTCATTTTTAACTATGTTCAACTATTTGAACTTTAATGAAAAATTGCATGTGTCTCGTAAGGTATGGTTTAGTGGTACGAGGGTGAACTCACGGTCATGAGTTCAATTTTTCGATATATTTAAATTTTATCTATCACACATAGTTCGCCTAGTATTTGCACGCTAATATTTTTTCTTTTTTATTGTTTGATGAAAATTTTAATTCAATAAATCATTTTCAACAATCACATTAGATACAAAGGGTGTGCTTGGTTTGCATTTTGTAATTATTTATTTTGTTATTTTTTTTTTATTTAAAATAGTGATTGGAGGTGATGTATTATATGTAAAATTGATACATTTTAATTGGTAACTATAAAACTACACTATTTAGATTCTGCGTTTTTTGAAAAAAAAAAAAAAAATTCTTTTACAAAATATTCTATTATACATTTTTTTAATGTCAAACTCAAACTAAATTTTTTTCAAACCAAATCAAAATAAACACCTAAGTTGAACCATAAAACATTGAGAAAAAAATAAAATAAAAAAAGCAAAAATACAAGAGTTTATACAATTATAGAGTTCAACAATATTATAATATATCCAACATTCATATGTATAGGGCTGCTTATAGCAGGAGCAGAGTGACATCTGCTTAGGTCTTTCATTA